TCTTCTGATTTGCTTTGACGGAGATGATCTTACCGTCATTCCCTAGGAACTTCATGGTGAGGTGTGGAGTGGATACCACCGCTCCGAGCTGATTCAAGGTTGGCCTCCCGATAATGATGTTATAGGAGGTGTTGGCCTCCACGAGGAGGTATCGAACCATTATTCTCCTTGTATCCGGAGGTACCTCGAAAGTTGTTAGTAGGTCTACGTACCCGTCGCGAAAATTTGGGCTGTTACACTCTTCCTCTCTCTTTTTCTTCTCTATCTCTTTTCTCTTTTTCTTTTTAATCATCTTTCTAATTAATCTCTTCTTTCCCTCTTACCTTTTTTTAATCTATGAATTGATATATAATTTATCAATATTTTTTTTTAATTATTAAATATTTAAAATGATTTTGTAATTAAATATTATATATCATTAAAAAATTTAAATTATTAAAATTTATCTCTTTATTTTTAATAAAATTTAATATTGAGATATAAAATTTTAAAATATATATTAAAAAGACTTTGCAAGTCATGGTAATGACTATCAAAATAAAAATAAAATTTTAAATTTACATCATGCATCCTTAAGAAATGTGACTAAGAGGATATTTAGTATTTTTAAATTAGACTTTACAATTTTTAAATTGAAATCGCTACTTTTACTTAAAAAATAAGTTGAACTTGTATTAACATGTAGCACTATATAACTTTGCAAAGAATGTCGTTCAGATGAATTTTGAATTGAATTAGTGAATAAATCTTCATCTTCAATATTACTAGTTAATAAAGACTATAATTTTAAACATATTGTTTAGATTCAATTGCATGAAAGAGAATATGTCAATACATGAAAAACTAGTATAATTTTATATATGTGAAGAAATATTAGTTATGAGGATATTAAAGTCAATTATTTGTATAAAGACAATTATTTGTATAAAGACAGTTATTTGTCAAAAAATAGAAAAATTGTGTTGATTTTATTTTTCTTTATTATTTATATTGTTTTTTTATTTAATCTTATAATATTACAAATCCATGTTTTCCTGTAAAATCAATAAAATTTTAAAATCTTGTAATATAAATCCATCAAAATTCATTAAAATCTAACTTACAAATTCTTGATTAACATCTAAGTTTTAAAAGTCTTTTAAAAATTCTAAAGTCATGACATTCTTACAAAGTTTTTAAAATTCATTAAATTTCACAAAAAAATTTATGCTCAAATTATCTTTCGAAATCTCAACTCAATACACCCCTAAGAGAGAAAAAAGAGAAAGAAATAGTAAAAATAAAAGAAAAAAAAATCATGTAAAATTTCAAAAAAATTTGTGAGATTGTTTGATTAGTGAATTATACTATCTTTAAAAATTCAGTATTCAAAATAAACTATCAAAAACTTTATATTTTTAAATAATAATAGGTTTTGTAAGTAAAAAATTGAATACTATTAGATTTTGATACACTCCTAAAAAATCTTAATTATTTTAATTAAATATTATTAAATTTTAATATTTTTTTTAAAAAAATTAATTATCTTGATTAAATATTACACAATTTTTTTATATTAAAAATCTTAAATAATATTACAAGATTTTTTGATAATAATTTTTAAAAAATTTATTTATTGAAATCTTAATCCAATGAATTTTTTACATAAATAATATTTAAAAAAAAAATTACAAAAGTAACATCTGTGCAACATTATTTACCCAACCAGAACCAATCATTGTTCATGCTCAGAATTCGGTTCCCCGGGAATCGAATTCTGAGTTGTTTTAATTTTTTTTTTTTCCGTTCTACTTAAACACTTAGAGTGCTTTTTTTTTTTTAAATTGGAACGACCCATTCTAATTTTAAAAAAAGCACTATAAGTGTTTAAGCAGAACGGGTCGTTCTGCTTCCGGAACGGCCCATTCCACTTTCAGAATTCGCCCAAAATGAGCCACAAACGCAAAAAAAAAAAAAAATTAAAAACAACTCAGAATTCGGTTCCCGGGAACCGAATTCTAAGTTGTTAAAAAAAAACAAAAATTTTGAAGTTCAGAATTCGGTTCCTGGGAAACTGAATTCTGAGCATGAACAATGATCGATTCTAGTTGGGTAAATAATGTTGTACAGATGTTATTTTGGTAATTTTTTTTTAAAAAAAATTTATTTACGTAAAAAATTCTAATCCAATTCCCTTTTAAATATTCTATCCAATTTTCAAATAAAGTACAAAGGATGAAAGTAGGAACTTCCAATGAGCGAAAGACAGCACATCAGACCATGTGATTGCAACTTGTGAGAGACGCACAAAACCAGAAAAGAAGCGGAATAAAAAATACAAAATAGAAACACAAAAAACACATGTTCCATTAAAATAAAGTCGGCAACGATCGCTGATTGGCCACTTACAGGGCACAGGAATCTTCATAGCTTTTCTCGGAGAGTGGAAATTTCCCTGACTCGTTTCCCCAAATTTTTACCCTTTCGCAAATCCTTCTCTTCCCTGTTTCCATCTCTTGTTTTCTCCTAACAATGGCCGGTGGCGTCACTGTCAAGTCCGAGGTCTTAGGTCTAGAATCTTCTCCTCCTGAAGGACTTTCTTCCAACACCGAGGATGTCTCACCCAACAAGTACGTTTCTACCGGCTCCCATCAAACTCCTTCCTTTTTAATTTATTATTTTCTGCAATTTTGGATGATGAATAAAACTGTGGTGTGTCTTAATTAAACTGTTTCCGTTTGTGTGAGACTAGAAAGTGGACCCTTATGCTTTTGGGTTTGGTGAAAATTAAAAGTATGTTGTGTTGGTTGAAAAGAGTTTTGTTTGGTGCTTGAGATTTATAGCCGTTAAGAGTTTTAATTGTGTTTGTCTCATGGGGATTTATGGGGTGACTGATTTGGGTAGTGATTTTTTCCTTTGCGAGAATGAAATTGTGGGAAATGGGGGAGGAAGATATTTTCTAGGGCTCATCAACCTTGCCTTGTTTGTTTACCTTACGAGGTGGGATCTGCTGCATGCATAAATCAATTGACAGTTTGACACCATTTGACTCTAACGAAGCTAATTTTTCATAAGATAATTCTGCAATTGGTTTCAATTAGAGTTTGTTTGTATACAAAAGTGTTTTTTTTTTTTTTTTTCAAGTTTCTCTACGTGAAAAAACTCTCAAGAACTCTTGTAAGCTTGTAGCCAAAAAAGCTATTAATGGTTTCTAGTTTTCTTTGATCCACTTTACTCATCGGAACATCTGTTCCTCTCACATAACCAAACGTCCAAGCCACCCACTTGAACCAAGTTTCTAGCTTCTTCTCCTTAGTTGGTGTTGTTTTATTTTTCTACCAAATGAATTCATTTCTAGAATCCCAGTCTTACCATTTCTTGTTTATCCACTCATTTACCTCGAAACTGTTATTTTCACTGCACTTGTTATTGTCATTTTTTGTGCTCTATCCGGAACATTTCTGCCTTCTAAAGCATGAGTACTCCAAAAGTTATGTCATACAAGTAGCGGAACTCCGGAAGTACTTATGGGTACTATTTGGTTACTTATCAAACCCATACCCCTACTAATATATAAAAGTATGCCCGTAAGTGAAAAATAAAAGATTTAATTAGCTTTTTACTCCCAATAGTTTCATAAAATTTAACTTTTATATATCAATTTTGATCACTTTTAGTTCTTAATGTCTATTTTTATAGAGACTAAAAGGTAAAATTTATATAACTTTAAGGATTAAAAAGAAATAAAAATTGTATGTTTAAGGATTAAAATAAAATATTTTAAATTATAGGGATTAAAATATAAAGTTCATAAAACTAAGGGACCAAAAGGATAATTAAACTTGAATAACATAAACATATATTTTCCCTTTGATCATACTTGCTATCATTGATGTTGTTGTTATGTGTCCTTGCTTGTGTATGACATAAGAGACTCTTTGTTCTTGACATCCTAAATCTATCCCTGTGAATACTAATTTTAGCCCATTCCAAATCAGTCATTGTGGATCATTGGAGATGAATGAGATTCATTTTAAGGATTGACCTTCTTGAAGTTGCTACTCTTTCTCTTGATGAACAAAACTTAGAGGTGATTCTTTTCATAATATTAATTAATGAAAAGAAATAATGAGATTGAAAAAGTTAAAGTGTGATATCATGGTCATACTTAGTTGTTATAATATTAATTGTTGATCATTTACATGCTGTAGTTTTTTTTATGAATTATTTTTGTTGTTTGCAAAAAAGGCATTAAGTTACTATCTCTTGGATGTTCTGTGTCTAGTTAGTGCATTCAAATACTTAGGTTAAAAAGGTGTGGCTCAAAGTCGACTCTTGATGTGAACCTATAATAGGAAAATATTTTGTTACTCTTGAATTAGTTCACACACAAGTGTTTTCCCCATTCTATCAATTATTGTTTGAGTTGAATACATGTACATGCGATATGAACACTTCTCTCTTCTTCACTGTAGCCTTCTATAAGACATCTTATAGCACACTATCATAAGCGTTTTCATGATCAACGCAAACCCTTTGTTAGTTTTCCTGTCTTCACATCTTTCCATCAAACCTCCCATTAGGTATGTATTCTCCATGGGTCGACATTCCTGGAAAAAGACAAATTGGTTCTGTTATTTGCAGGTCCTTTGCCCTAATTTCTCCTCAATTACTCTTTCCAACAGTAAAGTTTATGACACCTGTAGTTGGGTGATCGCCGTGGCAATAGTGGGGCAATCAATGATTGTGGTAGTAGTGGGTGGTGGGGGTGATATAAATGACAGCAATAATGGTGATGAGCCTAATTTTGGAATGAACATAGAAATTATACGGTATTTTAAAGTATTCCTAAATTATCCTTAAAACATTCTCAGGATTCTGGAAACATCAACCTAATGTCTCCTTATTTCAAAGGAGATGAGTTAGTGACTATTCTATTGTGCACCAGTGAGGCAAGGACTCATTTTAAAGTCATTGCGTTTGGTTTACTTTAGATAAAAAAGCTTTAATGCATTTATTTTCTCACTTGGATAATGAATGGATCCATTTGGAAAGAGAGAATTCTACTTCGGATGAAATTCAATGCATATTTTTTCTTAAATCTACGCCTTTGACATGATGTCGTCTCAATTTACCAACTTCTTAATGATCTAAGGCCTGAGGGTCTTTGCTTGACAAATATGGTACATGACGGCCCCTGTCAAACTCTATGAAAAGGAATACTGCTTACTAGAGTACAAAATATAAACCCATATTCTAGATTCACCAAAAAATATAACCAAACAAACTTCAATTTTTTAAATATCAAAAGATAGGAAGCGATTGGGATTTAACCTCTTTTATAACTTGATGATATCGAATAATAAATATTTGGTATAATTATGGAAATAATGGAAAAGAAGATTTCGTTTGCATCATATAGAGTACGTGGAAGATTTTCTTTGTGCAGTTATTGACAATGATCAAAAGATCAAAATCGAAACAAGTGGTAATATTATATAGTATAGGGATGTAACTGATTGTACATGTGTTGAAATCTTATAATTTGATCATTAGTATAGGCCTCAAATTATTTCCCTGAAGATATGTTCCTCAAATTATCTCCCTGTTCCTTCTTGTACAGAGTCAAATTATTGGTTGTCACATAACAATGTTATGATGCCCGGCAGAATATACCCTTTGTGTAAACTTGAACATAGAAAAAACTTTCAATGCATAAATTGATGAAACTCATGTGCTCCCTTACATTTCTTTACGTGGAATATCAAGGCTTCTATGTGCATCACCCTTTTTATGTGTGGTACTTGGCTTCAAGGGCATTGACTGATGGATCACAATTTACATCTGATTGTTATTAATTTTTGTTTGTGTTTGGTTTTTGAAAATAATTAATCATAACAGGCGTTATTTATGCAACATTATTAATGGTTTTTCACTTTCCATATTGACCAAGGATTTTTCTGGAGTGAGGGAATTCTAAATTGATGAAGGAAATCGTACTAATTTCATTGCAGTATTTTGGTGTGTTTTAAAGGGTCAATAATCACCTAAAGAACTAAATTTTGCATTCATGTTAAGTTGATACATATTTTGGCCCCTGGTGGGATAAAGGCTATTGTTATTGTTGTCGTAAGCAACAATTAAAGATACCTGCTTAAGTTCGTATTTGTATTAGCTTATTTTATGAGAAAAAAAAACCTTTTTTTGTTTTGGTAGCTTCTTGAAGGACCTTTGAAAAATGACCATTTCCCTTGTGAAAAAGCTAAACAAGCATATACTTATACTAAGCTGTTTAGAGTTCAACTAAAAAATAATTCTTAACCCATTTCTTAATACTACAAAATATCACTTAAAAACTTTAGAAAATATGAGAGGAAATTTATCAGGACTAAAGCATTGGTGGTTCTAGAAAGTTCAATTTACAATTTCCATCGAGTTCATGCTAACCTATGTTTTCACGCGTGTTTGGCTGTATATTTATTTATTATCTCTTTTAGGTCATCTGGACTCAATGCAGTGATTCCTAGTTCAAACCAGCTTACCATCTTCTATAATGGGAGTGTTTGTGTCTATGATGGAATCCCTGCAGAAAAGGTATGCCCCTTGCTGCACTTATACATCATGAATGAATCCTGCAGCTGCTGTGCCTGAATCCACCCTCTTAACTTTACATGTTAAGATGCAATCCTAATCACACATCGTTTTATTTACTAACAGGTGCATGAAATAATGCTTATTGCTGCTGCTGCTGCCAAGTCTACTGAAATGAAGAAGATTGCGGCGCAATCTACCCTCATTTCACCCGTTCCCTCAAGGCCTTCTTCTCCACATGGAATCACTAATAATATTGCTTCCTCACAGAATACTTCCATCTGCAGGCTGCAAGATGGTAATTTTCCAACTATGATGCTATATTAGAGATGATAGCCTCGAATAATTGTCTTCTTTATCATTTACCACATAGTAATTGCACTGTCTGCTATTTTAATGTTACAAACATTTAATTCTCTTGTGGCTTTTGCATTATACTTCTCTTCAGAATTTCCAATAGCACGCAGACATTCACTTCAAAGGTTTCTTGAGAAGCGGCGAGACAGGTATTTTCTGCCTGCCATGTTTTACGGGGTATCTAATATCTTTTCAGTTTAGTGTAATGAGATTATTTATCGTATCATTTATATACCTAATTATTTGCATAATGTAACGTGTAGTATTTTATATATAATCTATTGGTATATTAGACAGATTTTTAGAAAGATTCTTAGGGATATCACTTATGTATATATTCATATATTTGAATCCAATTGATTATGTACAAATATATCATATATCTTGCATAAAGATAGACAAATAATTAGAATATAATTTATGACAAATAATCTCATTATAGAGCCTTCAATTTTTAAGAATGGTTTTGTTATTTGTATAATTTGTTTTTGTTAAAGGCTGGGTAGCAAAGCTCCTTATCCATCCTCATCAACTACAAAAGTGGCTGACAACATAGAGAACAACTTCTGTGCTGACAATGCACCAGAATTGAATTCCTTGATTCGATCAGAGGAGGAATTTCAGCCAACTGTTTCTGCCTCTGGAGCGTAGCTATGTTTGTTCTATTTTATGTGGTGTGATAGTGTGGAAGACCATGAGTGTGCATGTAGTAGAATCACAGAAACTGATATAATTGTATTAGGTTCTGAAGTCTGTAACTGTGTTTTTTATATGTAAAATAGCTACTGAACCAGAAATGGTCTGTAACAGTGTGACTTGAATGTTGCGTGTATCTGTGCGCGTCTAGGAAGTATGCTTTTGTGTTCTGATCACACTATATTACTGTTTTATCTGTATGTGACTATGTGAACAACTGATTATTCATTGGGCTGATGTTCCAACTTCTATCCTTATGACATCTTTGAGGTTTTAATCCTAGATAAAATTGAGCAGAAGTTGTCCACAGTTCTAGAGCTGTGGATAAGGAAGTTATTTGTTGGAGGCTTACGCTCTATCCTGTTTAGTTTTTATTAAATTAGATTAGAATTTTTAGAAGAAAAAATCACATATTTGTTTTTAGACAACTTTTGCTCAAATTATTTCTTTTTAACATCTTTGATAAGTAAACCATTATGAAAATTAATTTTGTATATATGATATATAAGGTATAAAAAGTTTAAGTGGTTCAGTACGTAAGTTCGCATGAGGTATAATTTGTAATATGCAAATAACTACCATTTCATTTAAACTAGGTGGATCCAGCCAATGTCAGCGCCATAGGTAACACTGCAATGACTTGGGGAATCTGTGACTAATTTATTTTATTTTGGTTGCAAGTTCCTGTTTCCCTGATGATGCTGAGCTCAGTTGTTATTTTTGACGCACAGGGAAACTGTTTACAAAAGTGAAGTCCCCTTTGGAAATTACAAGTTATATATCCAATTAATGCATTTTGGGGCATATCTCATCTAATCTAAACAGATGAATTCAGTTTCTAATATGCTGTGACGGCATAATTAAAAGTTACATGTAGCAAAATCAATGCCAAATCCTTGTGAAACATTAATCCAACGAGCAACTCTAACATTCTCCTTATTATTAATTTAAATTTATTAAAATTCACAAATTTGTGTTTTGCATCTTATTTAACAAGTTTCTCTCATGACTTAGTAGTAAAATTTACCTAAATTTATGATTTTCAACTAGTAATAAAGTATTAAAAAAAATTGTTAGCACTAGCATTTTTAATAAAACTCTATTCACACCGACACATTTAATATGCTTCCTTGTCCAAGTGTCTCTTGTTCCAAATAAATCAACCAAACACTTGCGAATGCAGTTTTGGCAGTCCAAACGGGAGCAGATATGCAAGATTCAAGCTAAGATCGTTCAGCTTGTGAGTGTGCTGCTGGTAATCGAAATGTCCTAGTGGTTTCTGGCACCACAGTTATGCATTAACAACAAAATAGGTCATGGTAATAAACGCGACCATATATTGCCAATCCGAGGATGATGATCTTGTGAAGGAAAGTATAGCAGATTGGGTTGAATATGGCTCTCGGACTATTCCATCAAAGTGTTCAGCTGTATTTTGATGATAATTCCCCTGGAGAGACAACATTTTATGTGATTCTTCATGTCTCAACTCTCTAGGCCATTTTAGCATAAATGGACAAAGGGGGGTTCTGGGAATTCATATATACACTACTGACTAATCTGAGCGATAACCTGAATTTCAAATTACATGTATTCTATAACAGTATAGCAGTAGCTTGAAATGAATCACTCTCCTTAGTCCTTCCTGCTTTGGCTTGTTATAGTGTTCGTCTAACACTAGTGATGGTAAGAGTTGAACACAATATAATCACAGCTTACATTTTAAGGATGATTAGAGGAAAACAGTCTTCAACTAAGAAGAATTTGATAGATGAATAGGAGCCACTGGATCATAACAAAGTCACTGGAAATAACGAAATGCAATTACAAAAAATTGTTGAAGCCTCAGGTTACATATTTAAACATGAAATACAAAGGAAAGAGAATACTTGGTTTAGAAATCTAGGCCATGTTCACGAGCTGCTTCAGCAAGTGCTTGAACACGGCCATGGTAAGGGTATCCACCTCGATCAAAGGCCACCTTTGTGATCCCCTTCTCCAAACAAGACTTGGCAATGATCTCACCTATCCTCTTTGCTACTTCCTGAAACCAAATAAATTTAAAGTATCAGAACCACCATCCAGTAAGCCAAAAAGATTTGGCAAGAAAACATTTTAAGCAAAGGGGATGAGTGCATTGCAAGTTTGCAACCATTGAAAACAATGTATATGATACTGAATTAGACATTTCTATGACCAAAATAAAAAAGGAATCTGAAGGGCACAACTGTTTTGGTACAGATATCAATTATGTTTTGAAGATTATTAGCTTAATTGAATTTTCCGGTAGATTGAGGAGTACCATTTTTTTATGAAACCTTGTAAAATCCACTGTTGGGTAGCCACTTCGGTTTGATTCATTTTGCATCCTGGTTTAGTATACATTATTAGCAGTTTAGCACAACTGAGAAAATTAAAGAAAGTCTATAAACCCCGATGGTCAGTTAAAAATGTAATTTACTTATAATATATCAGTTATTAACACTGAAAGTCGAGAAGAACTTCGAGCCTCGGTTTCTTTCCCCTGTGAGTATATATACTATATAGTGTTGTGAATCAAATAAAAACAAAACAACTAAATTGGCTTGTAGAAAGCACATCATAATCAGAGGTAATTATTTCAAGTTAAGCGAGAATCCACTGCCAAGAAACTCACTACCTGACTAATGGTGAGGTTGGCAATGGAGCCGTCAACTGCAGTCTGCAGCAACTGGTGTAGCTGACTTAACAATGATTACTATGAAAAACATATGTATATTTATATTCAAGGAACCCAAAGATTCCTTCTTCTTCATGAATTTTTGGTTTCCCTTCGTATTCCCCACTCAATAGGCAGGGGATGTATCTCCTAGAATACAGTAAGACACCCAACAATATTTTTAACTGTACAGTTGCTACACTATGAAACTCAAAATTTACATCCAAGAAAAATGTTGTATCTAGTAGTAAAGGGTAGTAAGTATACTGATAAACAGAGATATAAAGTAAAATGATAACAGCAGTGGTGTCTAATGACAACATGCAGTTGTAATACACCATTCTTTCAGATCCACACCATCCCCACCTGAAGGTGAGGGCAGCAAACATTGTCTTTCAAACTGCATATTGTTTCCTCTCTTGAATTGAGTTTCTAATAACTAATTTCTTTCCCACAAATTAGTGTTTAAGGGTTAAGATGTTTTTCATCCCTATGAAATTACCAATGGTTGGATTTTGTCCGACTTTTAAAACCCCACTTTTCGTCCTTGCATTTTCTAAATATCCAAACTTTCATCCCTCGGTCTAACTCTGTCAAGTTACTACACAAATACCTTGTGATTTTTCTAACTGGCTCCTAGTTATAGCACACACAGATTTTCCCCCTTGTCAGACAATTAATCAAGTAGTTGTACAATAACTTAACAGAGTTAGACCAAGGAACAAATTTGGATATTTACACTTCAGTACTGTTAATTCTATTCTCCAATCATAATTGAAGTTTTACCTCAATAAAACATGTTGACAAGTAATGAAATCTATCATTAACCATATTATCAAGATAAAACTTCAATTCGGATCAGAGAACAACATCAACAACACCTATATTACCGCATATAAGTTTCCTCCTATTTCAAAACGCTAACTGTCAGGCAAAAACCAAAATTTCATCAATTCTTTCAATAAGGAAAGGGGAAATTAATCCCCTTACAATTGGCGAACACATTCAGCATTGCTATTCAAACAACAGGAGTCCAATCTGGGTGCATATGCAACGAATCCACAACAGCATGGAAGACAAGAAACATGAATTGAAGCGTGTCTAAAGAACTGACCAATGTAGGGCCAGAAGTGTAGTTGAACTCTTGAGCCACGGCCTTGTGCATGGTGGAAGCGGAAGCAAGCGTGCACATCTTGGAGTCATCAATGACCTGCACGGAGAGATGCTTGTTGGAGCGGAACACCGACAACCTCGGCCTCTCCGGTGTCCCTTCAACCTGAGACAGCAACAGAGTGGCGTCAACGCGCGTTGGGGAAAATAAGGAAAGAGAAGCGAATGAGTGAGTGAGTGAGTGAGTGAGTGAGTAACCTTCTTTCTGATGCGAGTGTGGCGAGCGGTTCTGTCTTCCCTGCGGGTCCTGGTTTTGGCTTCAATGGCGAAAGGAAAGGGGAGAGAGGGTTTGGGATTTGGCGGTGAAATTGCGAATGAAGAATGAAGGAAGGAGAGCGAAGAAGAAGCTAACATTGTTTACAACTTCACACAAACAACCGTTTCTTCGGATTATCCTCACCTTATCCTTCTATGTTCTATCTCTACTCCTCAGTAATCACTATAGCTTTGCCTTTTCAGGGCGTCTACCTCTTTTTTTTTTTTTTTCTTTTTTTTTTCAATAAATATCGTCTACCATGTTCACAACTAATGAATATCCTCCAGCAAATATATTTTAAACATATCAATCGGTGATTGAATTGTTAATCACACATGTTTGAATCATATATAATTATATCATACTTTTTTTAAAAAAACATATTTTTTTTGATAAATAATTGGTAAAAATATACTTTTCGTTTCTTATATTATTTATTAAATTTAATTTAATCTTATTTTAATTAATTGAATCAATTTAATCTTACATTTTTAAAATATATCTAAATATTTGATTTTTCGTCTTTTCCATTTAAATACTTAGTGAATGTGATACGTGTCATGTTATCATGTATATGATATAATACATGACATGACATGTGGCATGATTGCATGACACGTGTCATCATGACAATATGACATGTGTCACGGCAACGTGACACGTATCACATCTGTTATATATTTAAACGGAAAGGATAAAAAATTAAACATTGAGATACATTTTAAAGATGTAAGTCTAAATTGATTCAAATAATTAACGTGAGACTAAATTAACGCTAATAAATAATATAAGAGACGAAAAATATATTTTTACCTAAATAATTTTATTATTTAATTATGTTTTTATTACAATCATAAAACTATTTCACACTAATGAGAAGGTTTGGTGAAATTATAGGCAAATCTCTTATTTCTTTTATTCTTACATTTTACCACTTTTTAATTATTTTAAAATATAGCATTGATGTATTTACACATTATATTTATCTTTTTAATTATTTGAAAAAAAATTGCATATTGTATCTTGTAAAAGATATTGATGAAAATTTTAATAAAGAAAGGGATTCCGTGTAAACAATCAAATTGAAAGAAAAAAAAACTAATTTTTCTTAATTGAATTAGATCAATTTTTTCATTAATTCAGATTGTATATAATCATAAAAGTATTTTATACATTGATTTGAATTAATGAAACGAAGTATTGAACGGAATAACTCAAGGTAAACTTACTCTTAGAGTAAATGGATTCCCCTCTTAGTAAAAATCCAATCCTCTCAATCTTTTTTAGGAAATAATAGCAAACTTGTAAATGATTAGATTAGATGTCTTAAGTGTGGCCATGAACACTAGGTTAAAGACTATCATTTCAAAGGACTTATCTATTTCAAGTATGAAAAACTTGGTCATGTATTCTTTGAATTTGGACAGCCAAAAGCACATTTTACTCCTACTACAACCAAGTTGAGGCCTGCTACAACAATAAAAGTTTATTCCATGATTGGATTGGAAGCCACTCAAAACAATGATTTAATTTAGGGTATGCATTTCATGAGAGGTAAAACCTTGAATGTACTATATGATTCAGACACAACGCATTCTTTTACCTCCAATGATTGTGTAAAATATGTTTAATTTTTAGTTTATTTTCTACCTACTAGTTTTAATTGTTTTAACTCCATAAATAAATATGTGATTACCAACAATGTTTATTTAGATTGTTCTTGTGATACCTTCTACACTAGAATAATTGAATAAAGAATTTAATATAAAGTGATTTTAATATGAAAAGTATGCATAATATAAAATTTCTCAATTAACAATTCATAGTAAAAGGATTCACAAATATCTCAACAAACTCTCTAAATTAAGGGAAAACATAACTAACAATGTATAAGTTTAGAACACAAATCACTTGCTAGCAAATGCTTATCATAAAATGTAATTAAAATTTAAATAATTCCAATAGAAATACAAAAACTATATTTCTTCGCTCTGATGTGACACTAAACAAAGCAAATCCCATGTTCAAGTGGAGCTCTAAGATTTCCTTCCATTAGATACATCTTCCTATACTTAATTTATTCCTATAAATGTTGATCGACCCAAACATAAGCAACTCAAAACATAGGGAGTGAGAATGCATATCATTCATACACAACATATATAAAGTATACGGATAACTAACATATATGCATCATAATTAAATTCTTAGATATACATCGTCTCATCCACATAACTTAGACAACACTACTCCCACTAACACACAAGAAATGTATTCATTCATTATCAACAATTAACAGTTCATTAATTTCATTCACTAATAATTATGAATATAAAGACTCATGAAAATACATATGCCTAACTCTATATGTATGTGATACCAAAACTTCTCAACATCCTCTACTCAAAATAACTTAGGAGACATGGAATGAGATCACTTATATATAATATAGGGACCATCCATCTATAGTGAGCCCCCAAATCATCCTCAACTAGGGAATGTCTATTAAGGTCTTATTGAAGGCTATAGTTGACCATGGTTACCTCTCATTCTCGTTAGAGGTTCCCCACCATAACACCCTCCAAGGCATAGGTGATGTCCCGTGAACAAAGTATGTATGCATAAACTCATACAATTACATCATAATATCATAAATATGCAACAACTATCTTCCTCATTAGGCAATCCACAACACTAGACTTAACCACCACATTATAACTTCTCATACAACATTAATACATATAAGACAAGGTATGATCATTATAAGTATCAAGTAATTCCTTTTGGTGTAACTAATGTCCATGTAGTGTTCATGTATTATATGAACAAGTTTTTTCATCCATTTCAAGATCATTTCATAGTAGCATTTATAGATAACATTCTTATTTAATTTATTCTAAGACTCATGAGGAACATCTCCGAATTGTTCTTCAAATTATGAAAGACAAATAGTTGTGTGGTTTGTTAAATTGTCTAAATATCATTGGTGAGAAAGTCATCTAGAATGAAGTTATAGGATATTCCATCTAAGAATTGCAAGATAAAATTAGAGAACAATATCCTTATTTATTTTAACAAAACAAAATTTAAAGGACGAAACTTCTATAAGTAGAGAAGAATTATAACATTATTCTTGTTTAAATATTTGTGTATTAAAACATACATTTTAAAAAATAAATAAATAAATAAAAACATATACATGCACATGCATATATACATACAATTCAAATAAGAAATATATATATACACGCGTAAATAAACTTAATAAATTACATAAGTTACCATGACTAAATGATTCATACATACCAATTAATGCTTGTAAAATAAATAATACAATTAAAAATAATTTATTCATCGAATAAAATCAAGATTTTATAATTTTTCAAAGACTTGTTCCACTGTAAATAAGAGTAGTAGTCCCAAACTAGGTTTAACTTTTTTTCTTAAATTTTCTTTTCACTAAGATAGTGAAATAAGAAGCTATATGGTAAAAACACAATAATAAGAAGGGAAATTTTACAACAGATAAAGAAGAAAAAATAAGGTAAGTGGAGCAGAGACGTTTATATATTATGATCCTTTAATATATATATATATATATATA